GTATTCCAACAAAACTTTACTTATAAAACAGGAGAAGGGAACTCCCTTGTGGTCCAGTGATTAGGACTCTGCATTTTTCACCAGGTTTAATCCCTGGTCTGGGAACTAAGATTTCAAAAGCCTTGCAGTGCAGCCAAAAACAATAAAGAACAAAACAGGAGGAGAGCTGGATTTTTAATAAGACCAAGAGTATCATTCAGTAGCTCAGCAGTAAAGAATCCGCCTGCAAATGCAGGAGACGTGGGTTCAGCCCCTAGGTCGGGACGATCCCCTGGAGAAGGAAATGGCGACCACTCCAGTATTCTTGCCTGGGAAATACCATGGACAGAAGAGTCTGGCGGGCAAGGAATTGGACACGACTTAGTGACTAATGACAATAACAGAGTCTCATACACAGTACTCAAAATGTCCAGGATACAACCCAAAATTGCTCAGCATAAAAAAAAAAATTAAGAAATGTTAGAAGCCAAAACCACAATATTTGAAATTAATATTCCCTGTATGGGTTTAGTAGCAGAATGGAGCTGACAGAAGAGGAGTCAATGAATTTGAAGATAGATGAAGAGAAACTATCCAGTCTGAAGAAGAAACTATCCAGTCTGTTCTGAAGAACAGAAAGGGGGAAAAAAAGATTAAAGAACCTAATGAATAAGAGTGTTAGGGATTGTGGGTCTAACATTCTTTAGAATCCCAGGGGATGAGTAAGAGATTGGTGCAGAAAAAAAAATTTTTGAAAATGTAGCTGAAAGATTCTCAATTTTGGTGAAAGACAAGATTACAGATTCTTGGGACTTCCTCGGAGGTCCACTGGTTAAGACTCTGTGCTTCCACTACAGGGGGCACAGGTTCAATCCCTGGTCAGGGAACTAAGCTCTTGCATGCTACATGGTGTGGCAAAAATTAGAGAAAAAAAAGTACAGATTCAGGAAATTCAGTGACTCCCAAACAGGATAAATGCCAACCAACCAAACAAACCCTCCAAAAACCAAAGAAACAAAATGACCCAGTCAGACACATAATCAAACCCAAAGAAAAGAAAAAATATCTTAAAAGCACTCTCAGAAACAAAACAATATGGTGCTTCCTCAGACAATTAAAAATAGAATTACCATATGATCTGTCAATTCTACTTCTGGGTATATACCCCAAATAATTGAAAGCAGGGTCTCAAAGAGATATTTATATACTCATATTTATAGCAGAATATTCACAATAGCCACACACACACACTCAAAAAAAAGGAAGCAAGCCAACTGGTGATGAATGGAAAAACAAAATAAAGTATATGCATACAATGGACTACTCAGCCTTAAAAAGGGAAGTCTACAACATGAATGAACCTTGAGGACCTTATGTTAAGTGAAATAAGCCAGTCATAAAGAGACAAGTACTGTATGATTCTACTTATATGATGCACCTAAAGTGGTCAAATTCATAGAGGCAGAAAGTAGAATGGTGGTTGCTAGGGGCTGGGCAGAGGGGGAAATATGGAGCTATTAATGAGTACAGAGTTTCAGTTCTGCAAGATGAAAAGAGTTCTGGAGATGGATGGTGGAGATGATTGTACAACAGTGTGAATGTACTTAACACTACAGTACACACACACCCCTGGAGAAGGAAATGGCCACCCACTCCAGTATTCTTGCCTGGGAAGTCCCATGGACAGAGGAGCCTGGTGGGCTACAGTCATGGGGTTGCAAAGAGTTAGATAAGACTTAGTGACTAAACAACAATACTATGTATACATATAACCATGCCGTGTGGTTTGTAGGGTCTCAGTTCCCTGACCAGGGATTGAACCTGGGTCCTGGCAGTTTTAACCACTAGACTACCAGCTCATCCCCCAGAAATGATTAAGATGGCAAATTTTATAATATGTATATGCACATTTTGCTACAATTTAAAAAAAGCCAGTCTGGTAAAAATGGTTAATTAGATATACAGCAATGATTTCAATTGCTAGGGACTTCTCATCAGAAACTGTGGAAGTGAGAAGATAGTGGGACATTGTTGAAGTGCTGAAAGAAAATAACTATATCTAGAGAGAATAAATTCAGGAATGAAGGCAAAATAAAGTCAGTTCTCAGATGAAGGAAAATTTAAGAGGACTACATACTTCCTATAAGAGAAGTGCTCAAGGGAGTTTTTCAGGCTGAAGGGAAATAATAGCAGAGGGAAACTTGGAACAGAAGGAATCAAGGAAGAACATAAATGGTAAATGTCTCCTCTTAAGTTCTTTAAAATATATGTAACTATTAAAAGCAAAAATTGTAACAGTATCTGGTAAGGTTTTCAATGTATCCTGACATAATTTACATAACAACCCTAACATAAAAGGTGAGGATATACGGTTGAGAGGCATCTACGTTTTACTCAAAGTGATAAAATATTAACTGTAGGTAGTTAGATTTGTGTATTATAATCCTGAGAGCAATGTCAGATACAACCAAAAGTGAATAGACATATTATAATGAAATGCTAAAAAATATTCATATAACCCAAAAGTGGCAGGAGAGGGGAGAGACAGAAACAAAAAACAAAGAGAACAAACGGAAAACAAATAAAATGGTAGACCTAAATGTCAACCACATCAACATCATTTGTAAATGGCCCAAATGCATCAAATTAAGAGAACGTCAGATTGGACTGGAGATCAAGACCCAACTATATCCTGTCTCTAAGAATCCCACGTTAAATACAGGTTAAAGGGCTGGAGAAGAAGGTTGGAGACCAGTGGCTTGAAGAGAAGGTCTGGGTTCTCCTCTCTCCGACAGCTGGGTGGGGGAGGACAGGTGTGTTAGGGGCCCACAGAGACAGGCTTGGTATCCTCAGAGCAAGTTGTGGGGCCTTGGGATCTGGCTTCCAGATTCCCCACCTCCAGCTATCAGTTCAAGAAGGGACTTTCACTTTCATCACTCAGGAGCCACAGCTCACAGATCACCTGCTGAATCAAAATCAACATGGATTCTCCTTGCTTCTAAGAATGCTAATTGAACCTTTGCCAAAATAAGGAGATGCTCTGATCGGCTGTAGCTGTGGCTATCCTGGCAAGTTGGCACAGGCTCCAAAGAGTCTGGTTACGTGCAACGTGCTGGATGTTCTCTGATCCTGTGTGAATCTCACCTTTTTCATCGTGAGTCTAATAAATTGACTTCTTGGAGTCTGCAGCAGCTTTCAAAATGGTCTCCAACCAGGAAGGGAGAACTGGAAGTCCTGAGGAGAGGTATGAAGGGCTCAGTTACAGGGCCTTAGGTTCTGACTCCAATCCTTGAAGCTTTACAAAGCTGTCTCTGACGTGCAAAGTCCAATCCAAGACAAGCCAAACTTTCAACATGAGATTCACGCCTCTAGGAGCAACAAGGTCACTAGCTGAGGAATCTGTGCCACTCTCTCCTCATGGATGAATAAAAACAGAAATAGGGCCTAGTTAAGTAGAACTGTAGAGGTTCTGATCACAGAAAGAACAGATAAACTGCGGGTCAGGGTATGCCAAGATTTGTCTGAAAAGTTTTCACCAATTTTCTAGTCATGATTAAACATATTTCAGAAAATGCTTAACTTTCTACATAAATGAAAAACAGAATTTTTGAATGAAGCCAAATCTAGGTCAGTTATTTTCTCTACCAGTCTCAGGAACAATGAATGACCTCAGTCCAAATAATATCATATAGATATTATTTGGATAGATACACTGTCCATGTTTCATGAAAAAAGTTAAATTCTAAGTCTGAGCATGAACAATCACTTGAATTTTAGTCAGATCCATCCCCTACTCCCATATGCTTATCAAACAGTCTGGTCTCCATTTTCAAAAATTCTTATTGTAAATAATGCCACTCGAATCCTAGTATCTGTTCTTCCCTTCCTCCATGGTTTTGAATCCTGATTCTGAGCCAGGGATATGGTGTCCTGGAATAGACTAATCCCCTTACCTTGGGACTAAGACCTAGCCTGTGAGTTGTAAGAGGAGATATTATGGAGCGGCCTTCAGGAACCTTATATAAAATAATGCTCACACATTTCCTGCACTTTTTCTCCATTCTTTAATCCATCTTGTTGCTTGGAAAACAGATGTAGTAGCTGGAGTGCTAGCTACCACCTTGGCCAAGAAGACCTGGAGGAGTCCAGGTTCCTAAAGACTTTGTGAAACACATTCATCATACCAGACCTGGGTTGCCTACTTTTGGACACTCATGGTAGCGAGAAGTGAATCCCCATGCTGTGTAAACCCAGCTGTTATTTTTGGTTTCTGTTACAAGTGGCTGAATTTAATCCTAATATAGCTTCTAGTGACTGAAAGCAAGCAACACTCTCCAGTGAATCCTAGGGAGACGTTCTTGGTGGAGAAACTACCATTCCAGTCCATTCTTTGTAGAAGAAAAATGCAGTCAACTGCCTTTCTTAAGACATATCACAGTAAGGTTCCCAACAGAAAAACTACCTACCACCACCGAAATCTCAAAAAAACCCAAACACAAACAAAATGACTCCAAGTCAAAACCTAATTAAGACCCTAAGTGAAGGGCCAGTCTGTGGAAGAAATGTCCTCTGGTCCTCACTCTTGATGACCCTTCCTTGGCCTTGGCCTGGGTTGGGTTTTCCTCTGTGAACAATGAGGGTATTGAACTAGATGTCTCCAGGCTTTCATCTAGCACTGAAATTTCAGTCCATTTTCTAACCTCCATTAGATTATATACTCCTTTTGCATAAATGAAATAAACCTCAAGTGCTTTTCACAGTGCTTTGCACACAGCAAGGTGCCCTATACACATGAGCGATGAAGAATCACGAATCACGTTTGTGTCCACAGTATTCGGCACAGAGGAGGCGCTTCCAAGTGTTTACCGACATCCTCTGAGGCTGCCTCCCGCCTCTCGTCGACCCTGTGCCTGCCCTACAGAAAGCTCGTCCCCCATGCTTACAGGCATCAGCACGAGGAGCCTGACAACAGGAGACCTTAGGTTCAGGGTTACGCAAATCCATGGCAGAAAAATCAGCAGTGGAGGAGGAAATACACTATTTATTTACAGTTCTTTCACTTTATCCACAATTTCCCATACAAACATAAAAACTAAAAAAATAAAACCACCACTTGGGAACACAAGTGTCTTTCTTTAATTAGTCCAGTCGAGGGAGGACCACAGCCCTCTCACTCTGTGAAGGAGGCTATTGAGGCACACGGACGGGGAGAAGGAGAGGGCCGGAAAGAATGCCTGAGAAACAGCTCCCGGTGAGAAATGGAACATGCCAGCGCCATGGGCGCCACTGGGAGACTCAGGGCCTCGCCCACAGGGGGCACCGCCCAACTTCCCCAGAGGGTGCCGGCTGCCTGCCACCTCCCCCCCCACCAGCATCCAACACAGGTCACCCATCTCGTGAGCTGCGTGGGGTGTGATGGTGACAGTGGGGGGGACACCAGATGCCTCTCTCTTGGAAGAGCCCCAGGCCCCAGGAACACACGAAACCCTCTCCCTTGGCACTGACAGTCAGTCACAGCTTATCTTGAATACAATGCTGACTTGTAAAAAAAAGAAACAAAAACGTGGAAACCAAAGCCCTCCCCCAATTCCAGGGGAAAGGCAGGGGGCTAGAAACGTGCAGAGGGGCTTCTGCCTCTGCAGTCCTGTCCCTGGGGGCGGGGGGAGCAGCTGGGGTGAAGGGAGGGGAGCTCTGACTGCCGAAGATGGGGAAGGAACAGGGCAAATGCGTCTGGAGGCCTGGGGCTGGGGAGGGGAGGAGGAAGACAGGAAAAACTCGGAGACACTGATGCTGGGGAGGGCTCCCGCCATCATCAGAGCAGCTCCATCTGTTGGCTGTGCTCACTGCGGCCGACGCCCCCTCACTTCCCTCACAGGATGGGCGCCCAGGAACCAACCTGGAGGCGCTGAAGTCACCTGCCTGGCAACTTCCTCTGTGCTAGTGACCTAGATTGCTTTCACATGTTGATGCACGTTATAAATATAAAAATCATATCTGCTACAAAGAAGACATATATTTATACATCTTTACCCATATACATAATAACACAATTTACACATAATAATATCTTGGAGTGGGTCATCACGGAAAAAGGGGGGGGTTTCGGAGAGGTAATAAGCCCCTTCTCCCTCCCCTGACCTGATCCTTCTCAAGGGATGCGTGTATACTTGGTCACTGGGGCCCTTCCCAGCTGGCTGTTTGACGGGGCTGGTCAGGACACATACGGACATTCGGACGTGTAACTAAAAGTTGATGGGTGTGTACACCCACATACACACACAGATGCAGGCACACGTACAGACATCTGTGTGAGAAAAGGAAAAATAAAATTCCGAGCCCTTGGCTGTAGGTCTCTCCCCAGAGTTATAAGCATCAGTGCCTCCTCCGACTGAGAACAAAGCTCCTAGGAAGCTGCCCCTCACTGGCTTAGACTTGGGCAGAAGGGGAAGGGCTAGGAGTTGCGGGTAGAGGGGAGGGGACAGGAGTCTTTTGAAAACATAAGGCATTTTTGACCTATGATCAAATCAAACTATGTCACAAAAAAGCAACGGTGTCAGCTGGGGCTGGGAGGCAAGAGACAGCCAGTCCACGTAGGGCAATGTGAGTTGAGACCCTGAGCCTTCCCCTTCTTCTCTCCGGTTTCTCTTAAAGGGGCAGACAACCCTGTACCTCCTTTTCTGTCCTCTCCCAGAGCTGAGCCCATCCACGTGTCATGGAATACTGATAGCGGTCCAGGAGACCCGTCCGGAGACAGGGCGTGGTGGACAGGCACGCCAGAAAGTTAAGACCTGGGCGGCGGGTGTGAGCTTTTTACAGCAGGAGGAGCTCCTGGCCAGAGTCCACGGCTCGCACAGTGGCCACAGTGATCAGATTGCCGTCAGAGGTGGGGCAGTCTGGGTCCCCCTGGGGAGACAGCACCTATCGGCGGTAGTGATTGGGGGCATCGGCGAACATGTACTTGAGTCTGTAGGCCTCGGCGAGGAGCAGCCCAATCTCTTCGTTGCCCCAGTGTATTGTAGGTAGGTTCTGCAGCAGCATGAGGAGACCCTGGAATGCAAGAAAGGACTTTTATCATTTGATCACTGCGGGACTACTGACCAAGGGACTCGAAGGCCGTGGAACGGAGCCCCTTCCTCCTGGGTCACCCATCCCCAGGGTCCGGCCTCCCTCCTCCCCTGCGGCACACGGCCCTTGGCCCCTAGTTCTCCTTCAGGAAGCCCTGAAAAGCCTCTGCTGAGTCTCTGATCCACTAACACCTGCCTCTTTAAAAGATTATAAATAGAGGATGACTACAATACATGCGCATCTTTAAAAGAGAAAAATACTCACTCATCCAAATATACTTCTCTTAATTTCAAAGTATTCCTTTTCTGTCTTTTTTTCACGTGCACATTTCTTTAAATAGCTGTAATCATAATTATGATTTTACATGCTTTTTATTCATCCTTTTTTACTATAATTTTTGTGTTTTTCCGCACAGCCTTCAAAAATGATTATTCTCAATGTTAGTACTCCATTACGTGGCTATACTTTAACTTACTAAAACATTTCCCTTTTATTAGATACTTCATTAATTTCCTTTAAGGAAAAAAACAAAACAAAACGCCTTCATGGATAAGACTGCTACAAACCTTTTTGCATTGGACAATCTTTCGCCTAATCCCAATGTTTGCTTCTTAATCACTGTATTTATCCTCTGCTCTGTTCCCCAGAGACTGTCCTCAACCTACCTGTCCAGCTTATGTCCTACTATTCCCAAGGTATGAGCCTCATCCAGCCGGGTCCACTTCAGCCACATTTATCTGTGCCTCCAGGGTTTAATTTAGGTTGTTCCTTTTGCTTGGAACACCTCCTCTTTTCCTCCTCTACCTATCTAAATCCTATTCCGTTTTCAAAGCCCCGGTCCCTCAATCAGCTCCATGGAGGCAGCCTATTAAAGAGGATATTAGAATAAAGAATGAATGTGAAATTTTAGATTATCTCTATAATTTAGTTACCCTTGCCTTTGCTGTCACTTTGTGTTCTTTCTCTGCCTCTCTTTCCGAACTGGATCTTCTTATTTTTCTGATTATAAAAGAAACAGTAGCAAGACAAAACCCAGAAAGAGACTGACGGATTTGATACAGTTTTGAAACCTCATTATATCAAGGCACAAAAACAAGGTTAAATCACAAGAAAATTGACTACAGGAAAATATTTATAACACTTATAAAAGACAAAAAGTTAATATCTACAATAAAGAAGGAGTACCTAAAAATCAGTAAGAAGAAAAGGAAAACCACTAAATGGAAAAAAAAAAAAAAAACAGATGCAAACAGGTAATGTACAAAATGCCAATGGCCCATCAACATGCTGTAACCCTGCCACTGGCCGATGTGTGCCCTCTAGCAATGTGTCGTAGTTTTTAGTGAAGAGGTCTTGCGTATCTTTTATAATATTTCTTCCTTTAGTAACAGAAGTTTAGCTGGGCACAGAGGTACATGGGAACATCACTGCTGTGTATGGCCAGTATGATAAGTTCTGGCCAATCTGGGGGGCAGTGTAACTCCTGGGTTCTGCCCTAAACTACTCCTCCCCTTCCTATAAAACGGTGATGAATGGAGGAGTTTGAAGCAGTCATCTTAGACCCTAAGAATAAAGCTATGTGTTGAAGACGGTAGAGCAACGAGAGAGAAGAAACCCGAGTCCTTGCCACCCTGAAGCCACGTTAGCCCTGGACTCACACTCAGCCTCTCAATGGAAGAGAAGCACACAGCTCCTTTGTTTGAAGCCACTGTTATTCTCTGGTCTTGGTTTCAGGAGACAAGTTCATATCATCTTAACAAACTCAGGCCACATCTGTCAAAACCAGAGATGCAGGGACTTCCCTGGCAGCCCAGTGGTTAGACTCAGTGCTTGCACTGCCAGGACCTGGGTTCCAGCCCTGGTTGGGGAACTAAGATCCTGCAAGCTGCACAGTATGGCCAAAAAATAAAACCCCAAACAAACAAACAATACCCCTCTCCCACAAAACAGAACAAAAAAACAGAGGGGGAAAAAAAAAACCAAAAAACAGAGGGGAAAAAAATAAACCCAGAAATACACACGGTCTCTGATCCAGCAACTTAACTTCTTAGTACTCCTCCTTGGGAAACATTTGCACTCCGGTACAAGGGGCAGCACTGCACCATTGCTTCAAATAGTGGGGAAAAGGACATGACGGAGGCGCCTGTCAGCACCGGGCACTTAGAGAAAACAACTCTCCAAACTCTGAAATACAAGCAGCACCTATAACACGAAGCAGGACTACATGTGTCAAGGTGCAAAGATACCAAAGACATTTTTAGGGGCAAAAACAAGCAAGTTGCAGAAAAATAGAGTTATGATCCCACTCAGGTAAAAGAGAAAATACAACTATATGTTTGTATATGCACGTATGTATGTAAAATTTTTAAAAGGCTAGGTGGTGAAACTGTTAACACTGGTTACCTTTGGAGATGTGAGACTTGCTTTCTCTCATTATATTTCACCTCATTTTCAATTATTACAATAAAGTCTTTGTATATTACTTCTGTTACAGAACATTTTCCCCCCAGTAATACATTTTCTGGAAGCGTGTTTACTTTGTTGAAAATAATAGAGCACAAAATAAACCACCCTTAACTTCATAATCAACAGGAAGCTACTTTTAAAGCATTTTGGCATATTTCCTTCCAGTCCTTTTTCTGCACATCTTCATACAGATGAAACATTTTCTCTAAATACTTTTGAATCTGTGCAGCTCTTAGCATAAGCATTTCCTCTAATATTAAAAACTCCTTTTAGACATTTTCAGTGGTCAAAGAATTTTCCATGATGCAGAAGTACCCTAATTTACTCAGTATCTTCCTGTTTTGAGCATTTAATTATTTCTGGTTTTTCACTATAATGAAATTATAATGAACAGCCTTGTGCATAAAGCCGTACTTTAGATTGTTTCCTTGGGCTAAATTCCTAGGAATGAAATTACGTGTCAAAGCGCACTTTAAAGGTACTTAAGACTCATCCAGAAAAAAATGCTCATGTCCCTGGATCTCGAACACGGCTTAATACTCTCATTCAACAAACTTGGCTAATTGTAAACACTGTCCCTGGGTTTCCAAGCCTGAGAATTGAACTGAAAGCCACAAGTCAAGGGAATTCCCTGGCAGTCCAATGGTGAGGACTTTATGCTTTAGCTGTTGAGTGCACAGGTTCGATACCTGATCAGAGAACTGACCAGATACAGCAAGCTGCACAGTGTGACCAAAAAAAAAAAAAAAACCTAAAAAAATGAAGATAAATCTGTAAAATGGAATACCCTGCACTCAAGTTATTAATGCTTTCACAATTTTTGTATGAGCATGTACTCATGTAACGTGCAAAAAATGCAAAAATGGGAAAAATTATACACATCTATGCATTCTGACATTATGGAACATCTGCTATATTTTGTACCAATGATAAAAGGAGGTTACAAAAACAACATATTTCACAACACCAAACAGAAAAACCTGGACAGGACTTCCCTGGTGGCGCAGTGGATGATGAGACTCCGCCTGCCAGTGCAGGGGACATGGCTTTGATCCCTGTTCCAGAAAGAGATTCCACATGCTGAGGAGCCAGCTAAACCTGAACACCACAACTACTGAAGCCTGCACGCTCTAGGATCCGCGAGCCACAAGTGATGGGCCCCTGCGCTGCAACTGCTGAAGCCCCGCGCCTAGAGCCTGTGCTCTGCAAGACAAGACACCACAATTAGAAGCCTATGCACAGCAGCTAGAGAGCTCCCCGGCTCTCCACAACCAGGGCTGTGAGTGCGGCAACGAAGACCCAGCACAGCCAAAAAAATGAAATACAGCGGTGTGTACATGTCAGATAAGTAAATAAATAAAAACCTTAAAAAAAAAAGGAAAATCCCAACAAAGTTTCTGGCCAACCCAATATACAGAGTATTTCCATTAAGGGTTATGTGCAGACAATATGTATTTATTCACACAGATCTGCATGGCAAAATGTCTGGAAGGAGACATATCACCTTTGTATGGTAAGATTTCAAGTACCTTCATTTTCTTTATTGGTATTTCCTAATTTTTCTATAATGGTTTCTGTTAGTCGCTCAGTCCTGTCTGACTCTTTGTGACCCCGTGGACTCCACCAGGAGGACCCCACCAAGTTCCTTTGTCCACGGAATTCTCTAAGCAAGAATACTGGAGTGGGTATCTATGCCCTTCTCCAGGGGATCTTCCTGACCCAGAGGTCAGGGTCTCCTGCACTGCAGGCAGATTCTGTAATGGTTACATACACTTGAATAACTCACAAGCAAAAACAACCAACAGTTGATGTGTCTAGAGGAGATTTTTTTTCTAGGAGAGAATCTACCTGTAATTTTCAGTTCTTCTAGTCTTGCTAGAAACCTCCCAGAAGCCCTGAAATAATTCTACCCTTGAACATGTCAGCTTCCTACTACCTCTCCCACCAACAGTTGAGGCTTAGGTGGGAGGAACTTTCTGCCACCTGGTGGCCGTCCCCAGGAACTGCACACACACACACCCGCCGCCCCCCTCTCCCCCCAGCGCTGTAAAAATGGGAACCCTGTCCATGCATTGATAAATCAGGGATAAAGTAGTAGAAACTGAATTATCACAGGTGGGAAAAGATGCTGTCAATTACAAATCAGGTAAGTTAATCAAGGGGTAGAGAAGAGACACTGCTGGGGTGGGGAACTGAACATGTGTTACAAAGCCAGCTCATGGGAGCACGAAGCATTAATACACAGTCGGTGAAACACCACAGGTGTGAGCAGACAGCTTATGGGGCAAGCAGCTGAGAGTGATTCCGAGTGAACGAGAAGAGGCGGTGGCTTTCAGAGAAGAAAAGCTCGAAATGGCTAGAGAAGGTACCTGCTGAGAATCCAGATTCCAAAGGAAAAAGAGGAGGGATGAGTCATGTGTGAGGGGGCGGCGGGGAAGACAAGGGGGCCGAAGGAGAATGGACAGCAGGGAATAAGCAGAGTCCTTGATAAGAAAACGCGCAGGGGAAACTCACAA